GTGACTCAGATGCAGCTGCAGAAAGGCAGCTCTTGTAAAGAAAAGCGAGTCACAGGGAAGCAACGTGCTACTGCAGGTCACTTGCCAGATTGTAAGAGTGGGGTGACACTGGGGCAAGAGGAAACTCTTCAAAGAACTGAGCTCCTTCACATCTTCCCCAGCAACCGAATCCTCCTCTCCAACTGGGAATGCTCGCTCACTGCTGCTCGGTACCCAAATAGTGACAGGCACGTGGCTGGCCGGCGGGCCGCGCCCTGTTGGCGCAGAGGTGTGTTGGGAGCCATCTCCGACTCTTCACCCGCTAGGCTTCCCCGTCCGCCCTCACTGTTTGTTACACTGCACACCCAGACAAACCCTCCAGCTGTTCCCAACAACAATGGCTCAGCCACAAAAGCCAGCACGAGAGCCTCAGGCAAACGCTTCGCTTTTGCTTTAGCTCCCTGTTGACCAATGCAACCCAAGGCCCCTTCCTGACCATCAGGGCTCACAGAAGGTTTGGCCGCAGGTGGAAGGGAGGTGATTTTCTTCCCTGTGCTCTGAATTTTCATACCATTTACATTGCTCTCAAATCCTGCAGCTTGTGTGTGCCAGGCTCCCTGCGTGGATGCAGACCGTTCGGAAGAGGTGGCCCAAGACAGGGGATGTGTCTTTTGCCATCGCTGCTCCCAGGATTATCAAACAGATGCGGCCAAGCTCTCAGATTGAACTGGCTTTGCTAGTGCTGTGTTAATGCTGGTTTGTCTGTTTATCACCTTGCCCATTTCAAACTTCACTGAGCTGAATCTTAATAAACAGCTATATTCTGAATGGATTTTGTTATTGTTGCTTTTTCCGCCCCCCCTGGCCATTAAGACTCATTATGTGGAGTCATCAGCTGTTTTGCTTTGTTTCCCATCTGTTCATACAGTACTTGGGTTCTGGGATTTTTCCCAGGGTGTGAGATAATACTGCAGATGGGAGCGCAATTTCGACTGTTTTGATTTTGCCCCAGTGGAGCTTTGTGTGGCCACTGGTGGAAAAATGACAATTGCAATGGTTTTGATTAAAGATTTTCCATATTATAGGAACCTGTCAACTCTCAAGATTTTTAAGATCATGTTGGTAACTAGAGTCAGCGGCAGGTTTTTTCTGAGGAGATTTTCAATCCTTTACCCATCTACAAAGCTTCCATTCTCTAAAGTACACAAGGACTCCTTTTTGAGAACAAATCTTTGTGCAATTCCAGGTCACAGGGAAAAAAACCACCCCTGCTTGTGGCTGGGGAGAAGACAACATTCTGATTTCGTTGCTGTTAAGGGGAGCAGAAACTGGAACCTGATGAGACTTTGAGTGGCAAGTCTAGTCTCCTGTGGCCACTGGTAGCCACCTCACATCAGACCTCTCACTCAGGTATCAAGTTGTTGTGCTGACAAGCTGTTTCAGCAGCTCACTCCTCTGATGACTAGCAAACCTGCTCCTCTAATATGCAGCCGAGGTGTACTTTGGTCAGCTTATACCCATTTGGTCTCATACCTAAGTTGTCCTTTTTCTCAAATACCTGTTCTCTCCCCCCAGTTTGTATTCCCTCCTGCATTTATAGGGAGCGATCATATCCATTCCAAACTTTGCTCTGTGAGGCTGAACAAACCCCTCTCTTCTATACCTTCTTGCTGGAAAAATATGCTCTCCGCTTTCCCCACCCTCCTCACAACTCTCAGGTGAACTTCCTTTGATTTATGTGCATCTGCCCTGGTGACGGGAGCCGAGTCACTGCTGTCAGTCCTGAAGCCAACGTACAGGCTTATACCAGCTCCAGCTTCAATCCCCACTGCTGCTTGGTGCCTTGTTTTCTCCTGGTCACCATTTTGAGACTTATTTTACTTTGCAGGTGATGACTTCAGTTTGGTCTCAGGCACATCTTGAAAATGCCCTCTTTCTTGCCCTCTGCATTCATTTTCTAACATAGACTGAGTGGCTACGGAAGTATTTTTATCAGTTATTCTCTGATTCCACGTCCTGGCATTTTTCTCCCAGATCTGCAATTCCTGTCTTGATTGCCTAGCATCTCTGCTACGCAAATTGCTGGACACTATTTGGAGTAGATTATGTCCAGGGTGAGCTTCTCTCTAAGAAGATGGCAGTACAACATTTTGCAGGGACATTTCTCTGTGGTCACAGTGCAAGACTCCAAGCTAGTCCAGCAGCACAGAGCTCTGGGATTAAGAAAGCTTCCGCACAGCACTGGTCCTGTGGCAGCTCTAGCGAGGACGTGCTTGTACAGCTTTACAGCAAGTGGCTGCAGAGCCAGGAGGGGCAACTTGCAACCTTGCACCTTGTCACGCAGCAGGACATGCTCTGGAGAGGGGGAACAGTCACCATCCCCCCAGCCTCTGGGGTAAATCTGCCTCTCATAAGCGTTGCTTTCCCCTGCAGCTAATGACTGGGCAGGTAACCCTGCATCTGGGAAGTCAGAGAGGAGAAGACCCGTAATTGTTCAGCAAGGCTTTTCATCCTTAAAATACAGAAACCCAAGAAGGCTCAATCTTCATATATTTACCCCTTTCAGAGGAATGTAAGTGCTAAAGAGAAGGTCAGCTGCCTTTTTTTTTCTGTGAAACCAAACATTTCTGCACAGAAACACAAAATTACCACGTTTACTTAAGAGTTTAAAGGTTTTTACACTGTGAGTGGAGGAGGAAAGGAGAGATTTTTAATAACACTGAAAAATTGCTTTAATAAAGGAAAAAATGATAGGGCAATTGTGAGGGAATTATATTTAAGATGAAGACTAATGCTAGGAGATCACTTATGCCTGGTGTAAACCTCCCTGGAGTATCCAGGAATCTCAGCCGCGGCCTAGAACTCGTTGTGTTAGAGATGTATGAATGCGAAGAGGCAAGGAGGGGGGATATATGAAGACAGGTAATGCTGGTAGGAGTCTGTAGAGCTTTTAACAGGCCTTAGGTATAAATCTGGTCTAATAAATCTAATAAAGCACACAATTATGCTTCCCAGGCGTAGGCTTTTACTTCAACTTAGACCAAACTGTAATTTGAGGGGAAGAAGAATCAAAGCAAATTCTCAGAGGAGAAAATCTGTGGAAGCAGTGAACTTTTCACCTCTAACAGCTAGTAATGACCACGGGGTACAAGATCAGATGGTTCACTTAACCACCGAGTAACGAAATTAGGCTAAAAGTTAGATCTAGTCTGCCCAGAGGCAACATGACAAATTAGATTCATCCACTCGCCATATTTGTATTAATGCACATTTGTATTAGCGAGCAGATTATAAAAGAAGGTTTTGCCTCGAGGCAGGGTTTTCTGGCACTGAACTCATTTTCAAGCTGAGGTTCTCCCCTGAGGGCATGCCAAGACCCTCCCTTCTTCGCAGCTGAGGACATGATCCTCAGCAGAGATTTACCTGTGAGCAGCTCTTAACACTTCGGAGCTTTTAAAACTATAGATTTCTTTCTATAAAGCTACATAAATTGTGTAATCTTGATACATGTTTTAATAACAATACAATAGTTAGCATCTTTCTAAAACTTCATTCAGTGTGTTTCGTTGCTAAGCTCTAAAAAAAAATATAATAAAAAAGTTGGTTTAACATCAGCTCTCTGGGACAGGCTCTGCAAACTCATCCTGGCTCCCAGTCTGGGCTGGCAGTCCATAGTGGGAACTGCTGACTATGCAGATGGCTGCCTTTCTTCATCCCGTGGCTGCAACCCTGCGAAGGGCTGTAGCCCTGCGGTGTCGTGGCCCTGTGAGTCGTGGGACTCACAGCACTCAACGTCAGTTGTACGGGCGAGTGTTCCCAACACACGGCTTCGCTTTGCAGCTGCCTGGCTCCCAGTCTGGGCTGGCAGTCCATAGTGGGAACTGCTGACTATGCAGATGGCTGCCTTTCTTCATCCCGTGGCTGCAACCCTGCGAAGGGCTGTAGCCCTGCGGTGTCGTGGCCCTGTGAGTCGTGGGACTCACAGCACTCAACGTCAGTTGTACGGGCGAGTGTTCCCAACACACGGCTTCGCTTTGCAGCTGCGGCGGCGTGGCAGCCCCTCGGCCTGGGAGGGAGCTGTGAATCAAGAATGCATTTCTTTTTCCTCCAAAGATGAAAGACTTTTAAAATTAATTGCATGACATTATGGCTTGTCTGTGTTGTCAGCTCTGATTTTGCTGTGACAAAATGATGGCCGCTCCCTGTCAGGCGGAGTGATGCTCTGTCTGAAAGTGCCGTGCTCACCAAGTGGCAGCCGCGATGAAAGCATCGCCGTGATCTGCCTGGGCAGCAGTCTCGAGGTGCGCGGTGTGGAGGGCGAGGCGAGCGCAGATGTCGCGCTCCTGCAGGGAGCCAGCCCGGCCATCGCTGGCGTTCGCTCTGCCCAACCGCCCGCGGACCCCTGCCAGGTACCTGGCCCTCCTCCCCCCATCCTCGCAGCCACCGCACATGGCTGAGGGTGATGCTCTCAAGAGGAGTAATTTTAAGCGTTCAGAGCTGAATGCACAACCCCTAATCAGAGAGCTCAGAAGAACAGCTCTGCTGCCTTAGCAGGGCTGGACAGAGAAAGCGGGAGCAGAAGCAGCGGGAGGAGACAAACCCCTTTTCCCTTTAGAGGGCAGTGGTGTTCGTTGTACAAAAGCTGCATTTCCGAAGAGGTAAAACCCTTACCATTAACAACTGGGGTCAGCAGTAGCAAGTAACAGGGACCAGCACTGAAGTGGTGCTGCTGCCGTGCAGAAGAGCATCTCACTCTGACAGACTTTCTGCAATGCTCTGCGCAGGGGCTCATTAATTTCTCCTTGTTTTTGTGCACAGTAATCAGACAAGTAATTACCGCTCCACAGAGAGGCTTCCTTTCTCCCACCGCACCATGAACGCAGTCTGGGGTGCAGTGCTCCTCACTGTCAACGTTTGCCAAATTACAGCCTCTCTCTGAGCCAGATGAGCCCTTCCCATTGGATTCACTACAAACCTGTTCAGAGAGCCAAATCCGACCCGATGTCAAAGGCAGCACTGACCTTTTCATGGGTTTGGGCGAGGCCTCCCGCTCCAAGTTGGAGGATGCGTGCTTCACGTGCATGGCATTGTAGGAGGTGTGGGTGTACTCATTTTCATCGCTGTAGTCAGGGCCAAGTAATGTTCGAGCCCACGTCCCCATGTCGTAGGGAGGAAGAGTCCCTCCGAATTCAGAGGGCAGGCATTCAGGGTGTATTAGCTGGTGAAGGCTGTTCAGGTTGTTACCATGAAGAAAGATCTTTAACAAATAAAAAGAAAGTTCAAAGTCATCATCAATTCCTTGCTTCATTAAGTACAATAATAACAGCACTAATGAGGTGTGGAGCGTCATTAGCTGACGCTGCAGTTTCAGGTGGGAATTTCTGAAGTGCTCAGGGCTGGCTCGGGCAGGCAGAGAGAGACTTAGCTTTGGGGTGTGCAGCTGCAGAATTAGGCTGGCACTATGAACACTTCTGAAAACCCCAATTTGCTTGCTTTTGGCACACAACACTTTTGCTTTCTTAAGTACCAGATCAGGGGAAGAGGAAGTCAGGAATAACAACTGATTATTGCTGCTGC